ATATTATTTGATACTCTATATCTTTACCTATTAACTTCATAAACTCAATTATAGCATAATTGTAGTTTATGAATATTAGAACTAGAGAATCCGTAGAAAAAGAAGAATAAGAAAAAGTAGACGAGGAGGAAGAAGAAGAATGAATCTGATATAGAAGAAACTGATTTATGAGAGTTAGAAGTTCTCTCACAATTCTCTCTTATTGATTCATTGAATTAATTGAGTACAAGTATGATCATATATATATATACACCTTCTTGAACTTAGTTAGTTAGACCTCCTAACTAACTTTTGGATATATAGTTAGTTATATAACCAACTAACTAACTTATACACTTCCTATTTTGAATATTGAACTAACTACTTTTTCTCACTAATCTTAACAATAATAATTATATTACAAATATATGACAGCATCAATTATTTGATACTCTATATCTTTACCTATCAATGTTATAACTTGGAGTAGAAGTGCTTGGAGTAACAGCATTAACCATGTGCTCTTGTAGATGGTTACTACTCTCTGAGCTATAAGTTGAAGATGAGGTAAGATATATTCGATTGTTTCATACTCAACGCAACCATTTACTTTCAACCTATATATGGAAATCTCTTAAATTTCCAAATACATTCTGAAGAAGCTCATTGATTCGAAAAACAACCCAGAGCGATGATCGTAAAGATACACGAGACTGACTTCCAAAACTTGATTCCGCATAACTATGTGACCCAATGTAACGTTTCATCCTTCTCAAGAGGCGACGAACGTCATGATTCTTTAAATCATACAGGACAAAGTGACTGAACCATATCATGAACCTTATTTGATATGCGACACATTTTATCATTACCCCTATCTCAAAGGTAGAGAGATTGTTTCCGATACATCTTCGGCTCAAGAAAAACAATCCAAAGCATGCCGTCCCACAAAAAGGAAGTAATGGAAATACAAGAAACAATGGACAAATAACAGATAATAACAAAACAGAAACTATACAACAAAAACAATACAAATAGTAACAGAACAGAATTAACTGCAACAAAACAGTATATTGAATCGAGGTACAAGAAACAACAGACAGTAACATACCAATGAGTTGCTTGCTAATTTCTCTGTTTCTCCTTCATTTTCTTTTCCTATTTCCATGTATGCAATTCTCAAGATATGATGTAGAACCCAACAATTAATTAGTCTCTAATTAACACCAGAAATATTTAGCAAAATTTGTGAAGAAAGAAAGTCTTAACACCCAATAATCATATCTTAAAGTTGACAAAATGTTTCAAGAAAGAAGTTTAAGTAATTAATTGGCTAAAGACAAACTTGAAATAGAAAGAAGATTTCAAAATTACTCTAATAACTTTTTAATATTCCCTTGTATATTAGCTATGAGTTTTTATTATCAAACATGATATTATGTCTTATTCTTTTATATAAATATTTAAACTTTAAGTCATCTCAAATTCGGCCGCTAATAAAATAGTTGTTAAAAAAGGAACGGTAGAATAGATATTTAGTTAAAAATTAATATAGGTAATTAAACTTTATTAACATAAAAATTGACTATATAAATATTTCCTCAAGGCTTTACGATTAAAAGCACTTGTTCTGACTTTAAATAGAGGGTAAGCTATCACCTCGTAAATTAAACATTTACATTCGTCTCTATTTTGTCAGTTGAACACTTTAATTTACAAAATGATCATCTTATGTGTTATGTTAGCATTTGATGTCCACGACCACGAGACACAATAAGGATGAGTTGAGGCACATTTATCAATAGTATTTATCTTGATTATATATACAAATATTTTTAGAATAATTTTTTTTAATTACTTAACGAGCATTAAAAGTAATTTAGTAAAAAGCCACTTATTTTATTAGAAAATATTTTCACATCATAGCGGAACATACAATGGGAATCAGACAGCAAATTATGAAAGTCTCAAAACAATGAGATACTCGATAAAAATACTTATTTTTGACGGGCTTAAACAATGAGAAATTAGAATTCATCTGAACCTTATTCAACAGAAAATTACACTATATACAATTATTTTTTACATATATGTAGATGTAATAGGTATTGGATTCTCTTGATTTTTTTTTCCAAATATTTAGTTCTTTATATTTTATAGTCTATTAGTGAAAATCTTGACTCCGTTATTGATAGTGCAATTCCCATAGAATTTTGTCGATTTCTTTTGTTGTATTTTTAAAAGTCCCCCTCAGCCCTCGTTATTGAACGATAACAGCTAATAAAAATACAAATATTTCTATATATAAACAATATATTAATCGTGTAAGATTAGTCCCTTTAGTTTTTAATATATTTTTTTCTTTAATAAAAGTTAGCTAGTTAGTCAAAATTTGGAATGCTTTGTGTTTACGTCTTCTCTTATATTTTATTTGAAAAAACACAAAAGCAATTTGTATTAGGTGTAGAACTTACTTATATTAATTAAGCATTCAAGTTAATTAAACACTTAATTGACTTCGTGGTTCATTCCCTATTAACAATTTTCTTGCAATTTAAATTACCTAACATTTGGTAATTTGAATCTTGCAATATTTTATTTATTTTATGTTATTATGTCCCTTTGGTTTTTAGTTACTTTCTAGTTCCTACGTGACTTTTTGTTCTTGTGAAAATGGAAATTAGCTGGCCGAACAATACATATTCGTAATTATTTTTTAATTATTGCTACTTTATGTAGTTATTCTTTTTTTTTAAAATTTACTTGATCAATGTTAACTTGGCACACCAATACCAATTAAAGGTATATTTTATTAAAGTAATATTATTAATGATGCTTTAAAACTCTAAATTTATCTACTACACTACAACAAAGAGACATTTAGTGACAATAGATTTTCCTAAAATATTGTTGCAAAAACATTTAGCAACAATTGAGTCATTGCATCTAGAGTCGTTAAAGCCTTTAACGATATTTATACAGACTGCTAGTTATAAATACTCATATTTATTTTTGTCGCTAAATATAATATAAAGACAATTATATTATTGCCGCTAAATAACTATCGCAAAATCCTTTGTTCGTTGAAGTCCTGGTAAATACCATACGATAAAATATACTCTAATACAATTTATTTGATTTCAGAAACTGAACAAGTAAATTGAAATAACTATATCCGATATAGGGGCTACAATACTACTTATTCAACTTTCACTCGCAAGTCCCAACTAAAACACTTTAATATATCTGCTTATATATTATGAAAATTTAACAATAACAAAAAATATACATTAACCTTATAATAAGATCTTCTTAATTAAGTTTAAAGAAGGCCATTATAGGATTATACACAATTTCTTTAGCATTTGTACCAAAAACAAAGTCAGCATATGCATAATCTTCTCTATTATTTGGTATATTTGACATTATGTATTGTGGAGGATTTGGTTGACCATAGTGCTTGTTGTTTTCCTCATCATTTCCATAGTCAATTTTTTCTATAGTCCCTTTTCTTGTCACTATCCCCCCCCCC